GTCTGTCTCTAAGTGTAGCCCTGTGATAGACTGGTTACCTGTCCAGGTGAACCTGCCTTCACCCTGAGTCAGCTGGGATAGGCTCCGCCCCCCATAGTGAGGATTAAGCGGTGTGTAGATGATGGATGAATGGATGAATATTGTGATCAGTGTTTCAGTATGATGCATTTGTCAAAGATGAGATTTACTTTTGTCAGTGTGTCCGGATGACTCCGGTGTCGACCGTCACACGTCTGGATTCATCGTGTTAAAACATGAACAAGTACAAAAGTCACAGCGTGAGCCACTGAATAACTCAGTGGGATGTGATATATCCTGAATTTTTGTGAGACTGTAAAAAAAGAAAAGAAAAAAGTATTTATCAGTAACAGTGAGTACATTATGTTTAATAAGGAGAAAAGAGGCACCAACAGGAAGGCTCTCCTGATGATTAAATATGTAAAGGAGAGGATGTAGACGTCATACTTGTACGTTAGTAAATACTGTGGTTGAAATACTGGCATCGCCTGGCTTTATGATAACATGTCAGGGCAGTTTGGCTTTTAGAACATGTGTGAAGTCCTACACTTGACAGGGTTTTGATTCTGCCCCTTTCACAGACCGTTTCCATGTAAAAGTGAAAAACAAAATAAAACCACGCTATCTGTGGTAAATGTTGCTGAGAAATCCCCAGGCTGCTTGTGTCTGATGTGACAAACTCAGCGTCATGATGGAAAGAGACCTATCATGAGGAAATAGTGAAACCACAGTCTGCTTGCATGAGTCATGGTTCCTGGGCTACCATACGCTGATAAGAACTTAGAAAAGCACCAATCAGCACCACTGACGTGCAGCACAGAGAGCGACTGAGATGTATATATGTTAATTTACAGGAAGTATATTTGACCTGGGCGTCAGACATTTCTGTTAACGCTGACCTTAATGACTTCATAAAATTGAGCGGCCGGCTATTGTTTCACTGATAAGATCTTCAGCGCTAAAGTAAACGGAGCTGCGGCCTGCTGTCGCTTCTCTTCCCGACAGCCTGAGGTGTGAGCTGCTGCTGCTGCAGGAAGGGACCACCTTCTTGTTTCGGAAACAAGGCTGCACATGGATGCTTATCTCTGTTCAGATGAGGCATAATGCTGCGCTGCCTGCAGAGTGCTTACACCTGAAAGGAAATGTATGGAACATACAGAAATGTACGGAGCAGTGTGGACAGCACGACGGCTTTCCTGCTGCTGCAGCCATTTGATTTACTGTTGAGAGTTTTTACTCTTCTCATCATTAAGGAACAACATCATTAGCTGTCTTTGTAGATTCTCAGTCATCCAGGTCATGGTAGTCCTAGAAGCTTGAGTAAAGAGTAACTGGGCTTCTCTTCTGGGTTACTGAACAGGTTTCACTTTCATCCAACACAAACAATAGTGGTCCATTTCCAAAGAAAGTATTTACACTCGCCTGGTTCACACAGAGGTCTAAGTGAAGCCGTTACACGTGTTTCAGCAGCTTGTGTTCTTGTATAACTGTAGTTATTTCCACCAACATGACCAACTCCAAATCAATTGTACAGTGCAAAAAAAACAACCCAAAACTGTGAAAATCTGGCAGCAAAATCATTAGAACAATATCTATAAAGTCCTGTTATATCTGTTAAAGCATCTTTCAAATAATTAGATTTTAGCTGAGACACTAAATGGTCACACGTTCTTAAAGTACACATTACTGTAAAAATATGGATTCTTCATGTGGACATCATGTTCAGTCTTCCCTGGTTTTTGAAGTTAACGTGTAAATTCAGATTTTTTGTGGGATTTTATTAGCTGTTGTTTTGTTTTGTTTTTTATCAAAACTGGGAAAACCTTTAAAATATTTATTTATTTTTGCAGTTCCCAATATACTTTTTTTTTTTGCTCTAAAAACTGAACAATATCTGAACAATAATTATATTTCTATGCAGAATTATCCATCCATCCATCATCTACACACCGCTTAATCCTCACCAGGGTCATAGAGGGCGGAGTCTATCCCAGCCGACTGAGGGCGAAGGCAGGTTCACCTGGACAGGTAACCAGTCTAATGCAGAACTATGAACAGTAAAAATTAATCGTGTTGTAAAAGAATGAACGATCATTTACAAAAACACAGATTTTTGATGTAGATGTTATTTACAGCTCTGGCCTGTTTGTTTGTTTGTTTGTTTGTTTGTTTTAACACAGTGTTCCTTGGCCTGCCTGTGTCAGAGGATGCTGGTGGGCTACGCTTTTGTTTTTAAAGATATTAGAGAAAAGGTTTGTCTAATCTTTGATCCCAAAAGCTTTTCAATAAATACATCTGACAATTTGTAATTTATAAGAACATAATATATAGAATAACAATAAAGATAATGATGTGGAAGCTGCTCTTCACATGTTGTGTTCCAGCAGAGGCTGGCTACGGTTGGTCACAGACAAGTGAGCTGTTCATAAAACCTCTAAATAAAACCTTTACTGTAACAAGTGTATTTCCCAAGAAACGGTCTGAGTGTAGCCCGGTTGAAGACTTCTACCTCCCACGCTGACCTCCCTGTTTGTAGATAATAGAAAAGGTTATCAGTTTAGAGGAAACTGGCCCTGGATTGGAATGAGAACTGGAAGGAAGATGACTTTTGTTCTCTCCGCTGTTTAAGGTCACCCGGTAGCCGGCCTCAGTGTCTGTGTTCAGCCTGCTGATGAGGGTCAAGGAGAACCAGCCTGAGCTAATTCTGTTCGGCTCTGTGGAGCTGCATGCCACTGATCTGCTTTTAATTGTTTTCTCTGTAATTCATGAGGAACACGATGAGTCAAGAGCAGAAAGAAAAGAAAGAAAGTGTTGGAAAGAACATGGCTGGCTGCTGGAGCACAGCCTGTCCAGACTGGAGACCCTGAGGAAGGACGGAGACGCTTTCAGAGTCACATAGCTGGAGCTTCACATCGTGTTTTTTTATCTTTATAAAGACTATTTTGTATCACAACAGCAACACCGATCTCTCTTTAAAGTCAACCATTTCCCTGAGGTGCCCCACCAGGGGATCGATGAAGTTCTATCTACTCTACTCTAAAGTCAACTTTGTGCCAGCACAGACGCTGGTTCTCTGGTTTCTAGACTTCAGATAGACGTGCATTTGTCTAATACACAAAGAATTCTTTTTTTTTCTCCAGGAATTAGAATTTTAAAGACGCCGCTGCACTACCAGCACGTCACAAAATGTCCTCATCTTATGGAATAGCTCAGCATCGCTCCAGACTTTACTCAGACATTCACAGTTTCCACAAACTCGTCCTCTTGGCGACCTCTTGGCCTTCTATAAACACCACAGAAAGCATCACATTTGTGATTTTGTCAGATATGGGAGGGATTCCTGCAAAGTTTGGGACAGACATTGATGTTTCCCTTCGGGACCTACAATCTCCAGCTTCTGCTTCGAGGCCATTATGAGATTAGATTTTAATTTGTTGTTATTTTTATGTCCAGATGACATCAAAACTAGTCACATGCCAACTGGCTCAACCTAACGTGTTGCACACTCGGCCACGTTTTCATGCTGACACACAAAACTAAGATCACAGTCGACACTTCATCTCCTGGATGCCACCATGTTGCAGGCTTACGGTTAGGCTTAGGCCTCGGGTTACGGTCAGAGATCCACCAGTCTTTCATAGTAATGTTACGAAAGTTTAAAATAGCAAAGCGGACTAAAGCCTGAAATGCTGGAGGTGGAGGAAGTGAAAGGACCTTTTTTTTTGGTGTGTTTTACAGTTAAAACGTGACTCAGCTCAGGCTCTCCTTGTTATTTCTGTCTGGCGGTTA